CGTACAGGGCCGTTTGCTTATATGTTTATCATGTGTCCAAGATATTTAGACAGTGCCTTTATTCTTCCAAACACAAGGGATTAGACATGTACCAGAAATACAATATGTGTAAAGTAACCTTGGATTCCATTCAGAAATAGAAAGTGGCCATAAAATTTCTAAGTTTTGAACTTTTTTTTTAAAGAGGAGTTTTCAGAGTCCCTGTATTGAGTAATAGAATCACTTGGAAACAGGAATAGAAAAAAATTTTCTACGTATGTATCACATGATAGAAACCATTGTCCCATAACTCAAAGTTATTAAATGAGTTGCAGAGCCAATATGGGCATACTTTTGCAAGCATTTCAGTAGACATTGGTAGCCCTTTTGCATCTGAGAAACAGATAATTATTAGAACTAGAAATGACCTTAGATTTCATCCAGTCTAAGTGTTTTTGGACGTGGTTAGCATAAAAAGCTTTTTTGCCAATGAATGCATAAAGAATCTCCAAATACAGAATGTGTGGAACCAGAGCTGCGGTGGTCGGGTGAGGAGTAGGGGCAGGACCTTGGCCACCCCTCACCTTCTCCCACCCTGTACGTTCCCCAGCTCCCTAAAACTCCGTGGAATACAGTTTGGAAAGTGGCCCAGAAATTCCTTTGTTGTTCAGAGGAAAACAAATGCTGGTGTATTTCATTTAGGGGACTTGCTCACGGCACACCTCTAGTGAGCCGCAGGCCTGTGATTAGAACCCTCCACCTTCATTAATCCTTAAGGAAAAGCTACATTGCTTTCCTGTGATCCCTTTTGAAAAGACTTGACTCATTTTATCATAATTTCTAGTCTCTTTTTGCAGAAAACCCCACTTTTGTACTATATTTCTCATTATTAACTCCTTTATTTTTCTGGTCGTGTTTTCAGGTGTACAATGTAAGCGAAAAGTCCACTAAGAATTTTTACTGTCAAAGTCGTAGCATTCAGAAAGTAATGAGCTTTAAATAGCTCTGTAGTCGCCTGAAAATAAAACGAGGGGCCGCGTTTGTGGGCTACAATTTGACGCCTTTCTACCACACTGTCTCTTAGCATCAGTAGTACTTATGTGAATGTACCTCTTTAAAATGATCCTACCGACCCTTTGTCCAAAGAATATGTGCTTTGAGCTCTTTTTTATTTTTTTTTCAACGTTTATTTATTTTTGGGACAGAGAGAGAGACAGAGCATGAACGGGGGAGGGGCAGAGAGAGAGGGAGACACAGAATCGGAAACAGGCTCCAGGCTCTGAGCCATCAGCCCAGAGCCCGACGCGGGGCTCGAACTCACGGACCGCGAGATCGTGACCTGGCTGAAGTCGGACGCTTAACCGACTGCGCCACCCAGGCGCCCCTGAGCTCTTTTTTAGTGGAGGTGGGAAGAGTGCACACTCACGGACTTGACTCTTCTCAGGATTGACGATGTGTGTTGGAAAGGCATGGTTCAGTTTGACTAGGGTAGGATGGGGCAGGACAGTTTATAAAGGAACATTCTCTGCTGGGTTAGAGCTAACTAGCCTTCAGAGTTATCAAACCGGGAAACTTATTAAAATCCATCTCAAATTCCTCCGAGCTAAAAGCTGACATTCCTACTAATACTGGTTTCACTCGAAGAGAGGATAGGCTCCCAAATTTTTGGCTGTCAACTATGGCCCCTGCTTTTGAAAAGGCCTGCTTATAATCCTGACCTATTTTCCTAGAGGAAATCAGTATGGTACAGGGAGGAGGTAGAGGGACCGGTGAGAGAGGATTTTTAAGAGGAGGGAGGCGGGTGATGAGGCCAAAAAAATTGATGAGGCTGTCTCCCTGATCATCATGCAGAATTCACATTTTATAGAATGCTACGTTCCTGATTCAGACCTGCAGACTCCAAAATACTAAAAGCACAGAAATCTTACCTTCCTCTTCCCATTTTACCTGTGCCTAAAATGTGTGAGTTTAGGACAAATTAACTGGACTTTGTGGTCTCTGTGTGTGAGTGGAGGTTTCCAGACACAAGTGCTCAAAATTAGAGCTAGCGGTTGAGGGGGGAGACTCTAATCCCATGCATCAGACCGTCGACTCTGAGGTGTGCTCATCTCCAGTGTGGCGTTCGGACCCCGTCCAAGAGCAGGCAGGCTCTAAGGGGAGCTTGCAGTCCTGGTCTTCAGAGAACTGGGCTTATCCCATGGCACCGTGGCCTGAGGCTTGGATTAGTTTTTAAATTATTTTTTACTTGATTTGGATTTTCCTGCTTTTCTGAAGTGCTTGACTTTGCTAAGCCTAACTGCAAAAGTGCTTTTACTGCTTGGACTTTTGAGACCAAAAGCTGTGTAACTATATACTTCATACTGTTAGAATTTTGTGACTTTGATCAAATAACAGGTTTTTAAATTATATTTCCAGTCTGCTTAACTTAACCAAATCAGATCTATCTTGATCATTTAAAGTAGACTCAAATTTTCTAAGTAGGAAAAAGTCCCAAAAACTGAATAGAGAATTTAGATATTAATATTCTAGAAAATGTGGTCCAATGCACATTTACTTTGTGGTCCTCCAAGGAATCTGCCTAATCTGAAGCAGTCTTTTCTCTTAGAGCCTTTTGTGCTACTGTAGGGATAATAGGGACATTTGAGACTTACCCAACACATGTAACTTCATTTTGTTAAAAAAATTTTTTTTAATGTGACACAAATTTGTGAACCTTTTGAGCAAGTAATTTTGCATTTCCATTACCTGAAGAACACTGGGGCTATCGGAAACAGTGATGTGATGTTTTTTAAAGGGTAAGAAAATGATTAGGGCACCTCTGTGCAGAACTAGAAAAGACAGATACGGATGTTAACCGCTAGATGCAACCTAAGAATTCGTATTAGCCTGGAGAAAATGGAGACCCAGGAAGGTGAGGACTAGTCTCAGCAGATTAGGTGTGGCACAGTAGATTGGAAAGATCATGGTCTTTAAAATCAGACTTCTCTGACTTTCCACTTCTGCTTTGAGTTTACGGGGCATCAACTCTGAAGCCAGTAGCTTACCTGTTATTCTGGTATGTTGCCAAAGTTCATAAAAGTTCGTTTCCTTGTCCTAATTCCTTAAACCTTAAAAAAAAAAAGAAAAGCCTCCTGGTGGAAGATAATGTGGCTAGAGAGTGAACAATTAGACAAATAGTATTGTTCTTATCCCACTAGACAGAAGATCCTACTTCTGTTGAGTACTCTTGCTGAATGCTGTGAAAAAACTCACGAACCTTTTGTGTGGTATCATCATATCTTTTGGACTCCTACTCTCTATAGTATATAGGCGGTCTCTAAGAACAATAGGACTTCTTTAAAAGTCTCTTTGGAAATCCGTAACTCAGGGCGAAGTGGCAGGTACCCTGTGATTTCAGCTTCCCCCATCAATCTTGTGCTTTCTTTTTAAACAGGTGGTTCCATCAAGGTCCTAATCCCTACAATGGAGCACAGGACTGGCTTTACTCGGGCAGCTACTGGGACAGAAACTACTTCAATTTGCCTGACATTTATTAAAATGCACACAAGTCAGGGTGTTTGGCTAATCTATAAATAAGTCTTAAACCTATGTTTTTAAATTTTTTCCTTGGTTTCTACTCATCTTTTAAAAAAAGAAAAAACCTGCTCTGAGATAACTTGCATTTCACTCAACAAAAGTAGGGCATGAGGTGATATTGGTGAGGAAAGTCAGGAAAAATGGGTAATTTTGCTATCCAAACTTACTTCTTTGGAACACTGTTTTAGAGAGGTAAGAGAAACTGTGTGGAGAAAATGCTTTTTATGGTTGCTGTTGCCATATCTACTGAAAGTTTATACCCAACTGTAACTTTAGCTTTATGGAATTATATAGTAGTCCCAAATCAAGTTATTTTCAATATTTTTATGCTGTCATGCTTGAATGTTTTAGATGTGACTTTGAAATGTTTAGAACTCTTCTATACAATGTTAATGTGCTCAAATGTAGAGAAGGTTATGTCATTGTGTAAAGACTACGTTAAAAAGATGGCTTTTCTTCGTACTAATCCTCTCAATTTTACCTCTTCCCACTTCCAAAAAGAAAAACTTGTTCCTGATTTGAAAATTCTAAAAACTTAAACTGGAAAAGGTATTTTAGTGCTCTGAATTTACTTTTACAATTTTCTGTAATCATGGTCCTTAGAATTAAAAGGTGTTTGAATTGAAAATTTGTATAAAATCTAGTTCACAAAAATGCCCTAGAAATAGATTCTAATCACCATCATTACATAATGACAAACCTTTATAAATGCTTCAACTTTTGTGGCAAAGGCCACCTGAGACGTGAAGTTGCACTCATGTATTATAAGTACCAAACTATACAATAGGGGGTCTTGTGCATTGCAAGTACGTAAGGCCCCCGTGTACTTAAAATCTGTATGGAGACCTACTATACAGTAGCTTTGCCCCTTTCATTGGGGTACATTAATCTAATGGTATTTATCCACCCAACCCCGGACTGAGATCTTGCTCCAAGGGGCTTTAGGTAGCTGCCAGTAAATTATTTTAATTGCTGTCTTGAAGTTAACAAGTGTTACAATGAAATAATCTACCTGATGCTAAATAAAGGCTTTAGAATGTTCCCCAAAAGTGTGGTTTCTTAAACTTTCAAATATACTGATGTTGGCAATTGGTAGGATCCTAAATTATCGAGTGCCCGTGCACAGAGCCCTCGTGGTCCTGCCGTCCGCGGGGCCACAGAGCTAACCAGCACAGGCTCAGGAGGCAGTCAGCACTGGGGAGTGTTATCTGGGTAAATACAGTATTACACTGAGGTGCCCCCTGTATTCCCCTGGTGTGCACACCAAACATGGACTTCCCAAGTGGGAATGCCCACCTAGGAAATGTGTGAGGAGATGTGTTAATAGAGTGAGAGTTTTTTCTTCTACGGTGTATATACAGAGTTGGAAAAGGCTCTGCAAGTCTGCAAAGATTTATGGCCTTCTGTAATCGGTTGTCCTGAATTACAAAATGAGAACACAAGGCTTTATGCTTGCATGAAGTTTATTGACAAATTACACGGGGTGGCAGACTCCACCTTCAACGTTGACTCAAATGGCGTCACTACTGGCATCTGTTAGGAATGCAAACAGTGAATTGTTTAATCATGAAAATGAACAAGTAAAAAGAACGGCAGATCAGAAATACGAGGTCTGCACTGTCATTAAATTCTTATCTACTCATTTACCTGTATTTGCAGCGAAATATCCCAGCATTTCATGCTGAGAAAGCCATTTTGACAATTCTGCTAAAAGTCTACAAAGGGGGTGATGAATAAGGGCACATAGGCCTAAGATTTGATAACTGAGTTGTCTCCTTAAATGCGATGTAGTATTCGAACCTGCCTGTGAAGGAAATGGAGCTTTTGCCCATCAGATGTTCAGCTTGAAATTCCCACAAATTGTTTTAAGGAGCAGAACTCGTGGGGGTGTGGGTTTAACAGTTGCATTATACCTCCTTAACTCGTGTCTCTGCTCCCTCTAGTGACCTCCAGCTCTGGCTTCCTACTGAGCTTTTAACCCCAGTCTCTCTCCTAGGGACACAGGGGCCCTGACTCATAGGGTCCTCTCTTCACAGCTCCAGCGTCCTCTTAGGTGCTGTCCCGGCTCTTCCCAGCCGCTCTCATTTTGGCCTCCTTGGGGTGTCTCAGACTCCTGCTCTTTTAAGCCCTAGGCCTGGTCTGTGGGGTCTCTACAAGGCTGGCTCCTTGCACTCACTCAGTGGTCAGTTTGCATCTGGGCCTGAACACCTGTCAGCATCTTGTTTGGTTCACCCTACTTCCCATGGTGTAATTACCTCTGGTGCTTTCCCCAAGTGGGAAGGTCCCTGGTGTGCCCTGCCTACCCACCTCAGGAAGGAGGGACGAGCACAGGACGTGGCATTAAGTACTGGGTAGATAAAGAATTTAAAGATGATCTGTGAGTGATAAAACTGTCTTATCCACAGTTCATTCCAGTTTGGGCTCTTCAGGGCGTTTCCAGACTCCTACTGTGTAAATCTATAAATCTTCACTCTAAGAGGGAACAAACATACTGCTCTACACACAATCTCTTATCTCTCTCCAGTTGTCCCCAGTGCTCATGTCTTGTCTCTGCTCCGACCCACCCTTTAACACACCAATTGGATTATACAGTTCCTACAGAATGTCTTCTTATAAATCTACCCCTTTTCTAGTATCTTCCAGGGGCTAGATGAAGAACCCATATTCCCAAGGTGATCGAGTGGATCGGTTCATGTATTAGGCACCAAGTCAGAGTCCTCACGGTGCAGTACACACACTGTGCATTTATTAGCAATTGGGGGCAATGAACTTGGAGATAGTAACCTCATCAAATTTGAGTATACACCAACTCCTTGCATATCTCAATGCAATTTTCATAAACACCTCAACCTCCAGATCAGCAAATCAAACACTAGGAGCAAGCCAAGGCCCACACATTATGGTAGGAAAACGCACCTACCAGTTCCCAGTTTCTGCTCTGCGGACATGGGCGGTGGTCACAGTTATCTCTCCAGCAATACCATAACTTCCACAGGGGGTACGTTTGTCACCAGATCCTGAACCTTTTTTGGCTACATCTTCTGGGAATGCGACAGAGAGAAAAACTGGGCTTTGTGGCCTGGGGACATCTTGTCCACTTGGCGGAGGACTACCATTCTGGGGGTTTGGGGTATGTTTCTGGAATTTCTGATCTGCAGGAACAGCGATGGGTACTTGGACTGCAGTGTATCTCTTCAAGGCATCTGACTGAGAAACAACAGCATGTCCAGGAAGAGGTTTCCAATCCTGAGCTTCCTGAACATTTGAGCCTACTAAAATAAAAGGTGGGGCACTGGTCTTCTTGCTGTCGTCCAGCATCACGTAAGTTGGAGAAGTAACTTTCGGTGGCTGCTGCAGAAACTGTGGATCCTTAGGATTAGATAAATAGAGGGTTGCTTGGGGGAAAGGCACAGGTGCAGGTGGCGGTGATGGGCGACTTTGTTGATTCATATCAGTTAGACAATAAAGGGTCCACATGTTAGAATATGGTGGTGGTGGTCCTGCTTCGCTTGCTGCTATGGCTATAAAAAAAAAAAATTTGCAGGCATTAAAGGTTTGGTCTCTGTATCAGGCGCTATGCACAGAAATGTCTTTATAAGTTTACATATAAACAGCTGGAGCAGTAAATATGTGCCATAAAGCATGCTAGAGAGAGGGCTAAATAGTGTTTGGTAATGTGAAAGAAGAGCGGTTCTGTCCAGTTGGAAAACGAGAACAGTGTTGGGACAGCAAGCGGCAGGGGCACTAGAGTCGTGGCTAAAGAAGCAATCTCATGATAAGTGCCGCTTCAAGGGACACCCCCATTAGATGGGGCTGTCACAGCATCCTCAGAGAGGACTTTACCAAACTAGTGGCTTTACCAAAACAATCAACTGAAGGGCGTGTGAAGCCACTGAAAAAGTGTTAATGCAGCTGCAGAGTGATTTTTTCTTTACTAAAGTCTGCATGGGGCATCATCTTTTGATTACATTATCAGTTATCTCGGGCCCTTCACAGGCACCATCATCTCCCATTAATTTGTCCCCACGTACAATCATCTCATGATCTAGGACTCAGAACCCCAGAGAGCACCCCTTTTAGGCGAGGCTTGAGGTCAAAGGTCCTAGGTGGCAGTATGAGGCCTGTTGGTCTCAGAGGGATTAAGAAAAAAGAGGTCTAGGGGCACCTGGGTGGCTCAGTCGGTTAAGCATCCAACTTGGGCTCAGGTCATGATCTCACGGTTGGTGAGTTCGAGCCCCACGTCGGGTTCTGGAGCCGAGAGCCTATTTCAGATTCTCTGTCTCCCCCTCTGTCTGCCCCTCCCTCACTCGCACTCTGTCTCTCTCTGTCTCAAACATAAATAAACATTAAAAAAAAAAAAAGGTCTAGGGAGTGCCATCCATCTAACCCCCAGGAATCTATGATGTCAAGTTTGACTTGCCTAGTGAAGACCATACTGTCGTGGAGAGCTGAGTCACAGAAGATGGGACGGAGGCGAAACTCCTTCCTAATAGAGTTTGCCCAGAGTGTGCTAAGTTCACCTTGTGAGCCCTGGGCCTTGTATCCCCGGTGTAGCTTTTCTTCTTCCCCAGAAAATAACACTATGCACATGATTAAACTGGTAAGTTTTCAGTAGCTTCAGATACTGTCAATTGATCCTTCTGCAAAGCCAATTAAAAATATGGACAAGCCCAGTCTTCCATTTGAAATATCCTCGTAGTGCTTTAGAAAGGGCGAGGCCCTGAAAACACTCGGGATGCCAGTGCTGCATAAACCACGAGTGTAGTGCCCATCCTGCGTGCCAGCTCCCAACGCTGCCCTCTGCCTTCTCAGCTGTGCAGGACCCCGTCACACTGCCAGACAGAATTTGATCCCCGAACACCTGCTTTGGTAACACTTGACCATTCTGGCTCTGGGAAGAGCCGCAGTTTAGAGTGTTTCTGCAAAAGGAATGGGGGAGGTTGGCTCCTGTATGACCCATCCGTCCCTAAAAGGGAGAAGACAGGAGGCCGGGGGCAGGGTGGACCAAACGCCACAGTTAGATGGAGAGAGAGGTCAAATCGTGTCTGTGTCACGGGAAAGCCCCCGAAAGATCCAGCAGCCCCGAAAGCAGCGGGGTGTTAGCACCCGTCAAGGGAGCTGGCAGGAGACCCGTCGTTTCGGCAGTGCCAGTGCCCGGTGGTCCTCCGTGCTCTCCCGTGTGACAGAACTTGGGCCTGACCCGTCCTCGCCATCCAGGCGTGAAGCCCCCCCCCGTTGGCTGCAGGAGCCCTCAGCCAGGAGGCCGGGGTCAGGCCAGCTCCCCACACCCGTTCGCAGAGCTCTCCTGACGCAGCGCGAAAGCAAGGGCGACACACCACCATTTCCCTGACGCGCCACAGGCCGCAGCCTCCGGAAGGCGTTGTGCGGTTGGAGTTTATGTTCACAAGTGAGGAATTGCAAACCAACACCACCGCGGCCACCTCACGTATCTTGGGCCTGACAGTTGGCTCGACAGTTGGCTCTTAGGGTTCTTCACTATCTGTGCCGTGTCCAAAAGTGCCAGGTGGAGCAAACTCTGAGGCCAAGCTTTGGTGATGTCACTTTAAAATCACTCATCTTGTAAGAGTAAAATCTCAAATTCAACAAAGCCTTTACGTAGGTTTGCCATTTTAAGAACTATTTAAAAGTCTTTCGACCCATCTGTAGAGAGCCTACCTAGGGGTTACCTGAAATCTAGATGGCACCTGAAATGTAATCTTTAATTTTGTCAGCATCTAATTTTCTTACCTGGCTCCATCAAACCTTGTTCGGGTGCTGCTTCCCTCTCTGGTTCGATTTCTGGCTCAGTAAGACCTTCTGGAACAGGAATGGGGGGACCACCAGATGACCTTACAGGTGCACCCAAGCTCCCTGCTTTGGCAGCTTCCCCAGAGAGCGCAAGTGTGGCCTCCATCTCCTGGGTGGCAGAGTTTTCCCCGGATTCCTCCTGCCCAGGATTGCCAGGGACTAGAGCAGTAAACTCCATTTCAAGGTGCAAAGATTTTTCAGAGCCTACTGCATTGGTAGAGCCCTCTGCATCCTGGAGTTGTGCAGGCGGACCTTGCAGGGAGGTGTTGGAGTACAGAACTGCTTCTGCCTCCATTTGCACCGAGGAATATTCTGCGTCCTCCTCCGACTGTGCACGTTTTCCAGAACCTACGGCTTTGCCTGAGCCCCTCATGAGTGCTACAGCAATGGGACCAGAGGGTGATGACTGATCATTTTCTTTAAGAGTAGCAACGTCATCAGTGAAAGGGATAACTATGTGCTCTGGTATTTGCTCGACGTAAGTGACTCCTTCAGTCACAGGCTCATCGTTATAGATAGAGGATATATGAACGAATGATGTGACCTCAATATCAGCCTGCAAATGGACCTCAGGAGCTTGATCGTAAGCAGGAGGGTCTTGTTCATCCTGCAAGGGGAATGAGGAAGCCGTTGATGGCTCAGCGTGATCGTCTTTAGATTCAGAACCCAAATCTACACGGACAGATGTTTGGCTCAGAACCTGCAGGGCCACCACCTCTGCAGAATACACAGCAGGAGTGGCCGCCGCGGCATCTTCAGCAGCCTCTGAGCTGAGTACCTCCTTGGAAAACACAGGCAAACTTGTTGCCACATCCACCATTAACACGTCAGACTGATCAGAATGAATAGATGCAACGTTACCTAACGTCTGAGCAGCAAACTGAGCTGGGTCGGCTGGGACATAAGCAAACTCCGGGGAGCCAGCTGCCGGAGACGGTGACGACGGTGGGCTCATAGCCTTAGAGGTAGTTGGCTTTGAACTGGAGCCTCGAGCGGCTTCGGACGTCTCCTCGGGCTCTGGGAGCAGCTCAGCATGAACTGATGGGAACTGAGTGGTTTTGCTGATGAACAGTGGTCCAGCTATATTGTCCTCCTCTGTGTCTGTAGATTTTTCCATCCGTGTAGGTTCGTGGGAAACTATGGATGTTCCTACCGGTTCTTTTACACATTCTGGTTTCTTCTCTCGTGTCGTTCCTTCTGACCATCTCTCTACTAACAAACAGCCGGATGGGTTAATAAGCGTGTGTCCCCCTCCACCTGCCACCAAATTTTAAAGCAGTAACAGAACATTCAGATGGCAGTACATACACGAACACAAAAGAGTTTGCTTTATTTCCCAACATCAGTGATTTCGTGTGGGTAATGAAACTTCCCTGTCCTGATCCACTCAAAAGATCCCTCAGTCAGTTCATCTCCTCAGAACTAAGTGACCCTGAGTAGCATGGTGACAAAACGCATAATCAGATACCACTTCAGCTGGTCAGCGTCAGGGAAAAGACCATAACTGCCTAGAATTGAGTTGAAAACCTCCATGGAAAAAGCTTCTGATCTAAACTCCTACACAAAACCAGAGGGCAGAGGGCAAGACTTCAACCCGAGCAGTAAGTGACCTCATCTTCAGCTGATGGAATAGCTTATTAATGAAACAAATGCTGTCATGTTAATAAAGGCATTCCTCAATTTAAGAAAATGCATATATAAAATTTAACGATGAATCGGAAAACTTGACTACAGGACACTTCTACGTTAGGAAGCCCCGTCTAGTCTAGCCTAAAAATGGTAGTGATCTTGCTGGCAAGATGTGATAATGCAGGCCAAGCCGTACTGACCCAGACAAGAGGGGCCGAGAGAGAACTCTGGACCCATGTGTACGTGTGGACTCGGTGAGTCCTCGGGCAGGAAGAAGTTCCCATGGCTGGGGATGGCGAGAGGGCTGGCGACGTGTAGAAACTCCTAGGACTGGAAAACTGCTGTGAGCCCCTTTTCTCAGCTCCGCATCTGCCTGCCCCCCCCCCCCCCCGGCCCTTCCTTGTTGCACGCGGTCACATCTGCTTGCCGCACTGAGGATTCTCTCTTGGGGAAATGTTTCCCTAATACCAGAATGCTATCTGCAGGAAAAGCACAAAGTGTGTTTCAGTTTTGTTCTTACTCCTCTTACAAGATTTATTATTCCTTGGCTTTGACCTTCCTGGAGTCTCAACTGCATGGCCAGAGTTTCACAAGTCTCTTCATCTCGGCTGGGCCCAACCTCCTCCACACCAACAGCACACTACTTCTCAAACCCCCCCCCCCCCCCCGCGGCGGCCGGGGGCCGCCCAGCTCTTCCCGGCTAAGCCCCAAGCCGTCCTCCACAGGCAAGCAGCTCGGGGTTGGCCAGCAACCCCAATGAAAAGGGCTTTGCGTTTTTTTATGGGGGTAGGGGAGTGGGATTCTTCTCTGCAAACACTCCCTCAGATACTTTGTTGCTTGAATCCTAGCCATATTAGTAGCCCCTAACTCTGCTTCTGCATTTCCTCTTCCCAGGGACACTTCCACTCTCTCTGCTTGGCCTCGCTTTCCCTGTGCAAGAGTTTGAAAAATGCTGCGAGGATGAATGAGGGGCTCACTTTCTGTGAATCTCTTCTTCCAAGTATCCAGGCACTGGACTTTGTTTTGTACACTTTCTTCAGCATTATGGCTGTTGATAGGAGGCTAGGTGTGATACCAGCCCCTCCATCAGAGCTGAAAGTGAACTCTCTCCTTCCCCACTGAATCTCACCTAGCACAACATCTGGCAGTGGGTAGGAATGTACATATTTGTTAAATGAAATAATGAATTGGGCTTTAAGGATATGTAGCACTTGAAAGGTGGAAAGGAACTCCTGGAGAGGGGAGCAGCATAAAGCAAAACTCAGAAGACAACAAACTGTCTTGTACTTAATGGGAGCGAGGATTGCAAAGGCAGGATAGATGCAGATTGCAGGAAGCTGCGTTTGCATTCAGGGGCCTGTAAAGGGATGAAAATTTACACACTATGACAGACTTGTCACAAAGCATTACTTTCTCTGTCTGCATTAAAATGCTCATTTCTACATGGCAAAATTTAGTTGATCTAGGTTTAAAGTATTTATCCCTTCCAGTTTAAAAGTCTCCTTTGGTTAATTGGTTAATTATTCACCCTTTTGGGGTATCGCTCTTTTATCGAAGGTTCTCCCGCTTCTAAAGAGGGAATGTGAATGTGAGAGTTAGCTCTGGTTCTGACCCATGTAGCCCTTTCCTGCCACCTGTCTGTGACCTCTGGTGGAGGCACAGCACCTATTGCCTGTGCTCTGGGCGTTGTCTCTGACTTTGCTGTATTTCCTGAAGTATTTCCACCCTGTGAAAAATGTGGCCTGTTACTTCACTCAAGGACTGGGAGAGCCCTTCCTAATTTGTTCCTCTTTAGCCTCTGAGGCCTAGCTGCCAATTTTGATTCAGTCCCAGCTTGGACATTTTGTGCTGTAGCTCTCAGCTGGCAGGTTGAGTAACTGCACTTTTCTCAGCCCGACGCCCTGCGATTTCAGCACTCTGGGACAATCGAAACACATCTGCACCAACTAAAAGCCACATGCAGATCCTGGGGCATCAGAAATCTTATCTCAGGCCCATCTGAGAAAGACTCTCCATTATTTCTACTCTACTGCTTCAAATAGAATTTTTTATTCAACAAATACTTACTGAATGTCTGATCACAATTACAATTATGGTGGAGGTGCTGAATGTAGCATAGGTTATGTTGAACGATGCTAATCACACTGCTTCTCTGAGAGGCACCCAGGAAAGCAAAGAGCAAGCGTTTTGTTCACGTTTTAGGGAATTCCAATCACAGATTTTACCTTCCTTACAACTGCTCTGGATCTCAGCTGGCAATTGTTATGCACGCCAGAGTACCACAGTCCCATTGCCAGGAAGGACTTCTCACTTCCCCTCCCTTTGCAGCAGGAGACGAGCTTATATCCTAACTTTACCCACCCACCCCCCTCCTCCCTGGCATATATAAAATAAAACCTTGCAAGGTGCCTGGGTGGCTCAGTCGGTTAAGCAACCAATTTCGACTCGGGTCAAGCTCTCCCAGTCCATGGGTTCAAGCCCTGCATCCTCTCTGTGCTGACAGCTCAGAGCCTGGAGCCCCTTTCCATTTCTGTGTCTCCTTCTCTCTCTGCCTCTCCCGCCCTCTCTCTCTCTTTCTCTCTCTCTCTCAAAAACAAATTTTTAAAAAAATTTTTAAATATAAACTTGACTACCAGAATCTTTGGCTTGTAAATTAAAATTCCACTCTGGAAAATCCAAGATCTTCTCTCAACAAAAACAGGTTCCTGCAAAACTCCAAAGTGTTAGCTTTCTTGCTATGAACTTGGGAGACTCAGTACGGAGTAACGACTTCCTTGCTCTAGCTATTTTCGCCTTTTCTCCTAAAGCAAATGAATACGTCAATGGGTAGACATGAACGGAGTGAACAGGAACAATCAGAGGCTATCTGAAATCATGTATATTAGAGTTTAATATTTTTGCAAAAGTATCCCTACAACACCAAAGAGTTTGGATTTTGTGAACAACAGGGAGCTGTCAAGGCTCCTGACTAGCAGAGCGATACATTTCTCAAAATTGTTCTCCCTTCATGTACTGACTCTTGGGTCCTGCTGTCCCTGACCTCGTCCTAATTTTCTGGTTTGCCATATCTGCTTCCTCTCTCAATCCCAGTTAGCTCTGTTTCTGCCCCTAGTCTGACCCCAACTCTTGACTATTTTGTTTGCCGTCTTTAGTATGGACTATTCCCCCAACTGATTAATCTTAACACAGTGGAAAAGCATAAAAGACCCAAGCCCCCTTCCCAACATCACCACCACAGAATCATTTGAACCCTTTTCAACTTAATGTAATTCTTAACCTTGGTACAAATTTTACCACCCTGTCTAGACAAATACAAGACTTGGAGAGATAAAAAGATCATTTTGGCACATCACCCATCCCTGTTTAGGGCATCAGTGTAGCTTGATTTCCTTACTTGAAAAAAAAAAAAAAAATGCCCAGAAAGTGCAGAGTAAGCACCGGGGCTTCACAAAATTTAGTATAGGCAGTCCTGAAATTGATACATTTCTCATTTACTTAATAAGAGAGAATAGCTACAAGTATATGTAACCAACCATGAAAATAATGCATGAGAATAGAATTTGGTACAAGAATTAAACTAAAAATTGGGGCACCCAGGTGGCACACTTGGTTAAGCTTCCAACGCTTGACTTCAGCTCAGGTCATGATCTCACCGTTTCGTGAGTTCGAGCCCCACATCGGGCTCTGTGCTGACAGCGTGGAGCCTCTTTGGGATTCTCTCTCCCTCTCTCTCTGCCCCTCCCCTGCTCAAGCTCTGTCTCTGTCAAAAACAAACTTAAAGAAGGTTTTAAAACTAAGAATTAAACTAAAAACTTCATAAATGTTTGATATGAGTAAGTAGCTCAAGACAACACCTAATGATACACATAACTGCTATGGTGCTGCATAGAAATTGAAACTGGGCCCAAAGATCAACAACAGTGCATGACGGTAATTACTGTTCTATGGCCAAGCCAAGAATGTCCAAGATGACTATGAAAAGCTAACAGGTTAACTCAGGGTGGGCTAGGCCTCCTTGGTTCTTCAGAAGAGTTTGTTATTTCCTGCCTTTGTTGGAAGCAGGACAAGGCTGATACTAGAAACCGGACTGAATTAAGCTTAGGGGGATGTAAGGTGATAGTGGTGTTGAGATTACATTCACCGCTCTGAACGGGAAAGTGCTTCCCACCCTCCTCACTGAGTGCTGAAAAAATGACAACTAGCACAATCTGGCTTCAGGGTCTACACAACATGATGGAGGAAGAAGTGAAAGAGGAGGAGATACTGTGGGGAAAGGGAGCTGAAATTCCTCTCCCTTCACTCTTTTAGTTGAAGAATTTCAAGTTTTTCCAGAGGGATCCTAGAATGCTATTTACTGTAGAAAGAGCATGAGTTATGCTTCTAGGAGGATCTCAGTTTAGATCCCAACTCTACCAATTATTTAATATTTAGAAGCTTACAAGTTATGTATCACACCCAAGCATCAGATTTCTCACGTAAAATTGCAATGATGTTACCTACTTATAAAGGTGTCTTAATTGACAAAATATATTGTAAGTACCTAGGACAAAACAGGTACAGGTATACCTCATTTTATCGCACTTTATTTTACTTGGCAAGTATTGCATTTTTTACAAACTGAAGGTTTGTGGCAACCCTGTTAAGCAAGGCCACTGACTGGCTGTTCCCCCCATCTTTCTCCCTCTGCTGGGACCTCCCCATTCCCTGAGACACAACAATATTGAAATTAGGCCGATCGATAACCCTACAATGGCCTCTAAGTGCTCAAGTGAAAGAAAGAGTCTCATGTCTCTTACTTTAAATCAAAAGCTAGAAAATGATTAAGCTTAGTGAGGAAGGCATGGTGAAAGCTGAGATAGGCTGAACTCTTATGCCAACCAGTTAGCCAAGTTGTGAATGCAAAGAAAAGTTCTTAAAGGAAATTGAAAGTGCTAAACCAGTGAACACATGAATGATAAGAAAGCGAAACAGCCTTATTGCTGATAGGGAGAACGTTTTAGTGTTCTGGATAGAAGCTCCAACCAGCCACAACATTCCCTTAGACCAAAAGCCTAATCCAGAGCAAAGTCCTAACTCTCGTCAATTCTATCAAGTCTGAGAGAGGAGGAAGCTGCAGAAGAAACGTCTGAAGCGAGCAGAGGTGGTTCATGAGGTTTAAGGAAAAACACCGTCTCCATAACATCAACGTGCAAGGGGAAGCAGCAAGTGCTGATGTAGAAGCCGCCGCAATTATCCAGGAGATCTAGCTAGAGCATTACTGAGGGTGGCTACACTAAACAACAGATTTTCAATGTAGGTGAGACATTCATATATTAGAAGATGCTGTCTAGGACTTTCATAGCTAGAGAGAAGTCAATGCCTGCCTTCAAAGCTCCAAAGGACAATCTGACTGTCTTGTTAGGGGCTACTGCAGCTGGTGACTTTGAGTTGAAGCCAATGCTCTTTTCCTATTCTGAAAATCCTGGGGGTCTTAAGAATTATGCTAAATCTACTCTGCATGGGCTCTATAAATGGGACAACAAAGCCTGGTAACAGCATGTCCATTTACACTATGGCTTACTGAATATTTTATTTACTTACTTTTATTAATTTTTTTAATGTTTATTTTTGAGAGAGACAGACAGAACATGAGCAGGGGAGGGGCAGAGAGAGAGAGGGAGACACAGAATCTGAAGCAGGCTCCAGATTCTGAGCTGTCAGCACAGAGCCCAACACGAAGCCCGAACTCATGGACTGCGAAATCATGATCTGAGCCAAAGTCAGACGCTTAACTGAGCCACCCGGGCACCCCGGTTAACTGAATAAACTGAGGGTTTAGAGTTTAAACCCCCTAAACTCTGGGTTGAGACCTGCCACTTAGAGAAAAATATTCCTTTCAAAATATTACTGCTCAGGGACAATGTACTTGGTCATCCAAGAGCTCTGATGGAGACGTACAATGAGGTGAATGTGGTTTTCATACCTGCTAATACATCGATACTGTAGTCCATGAATCAAGAAGTAATTTCAACTTTCAAATCTCATTATTTAAGAAATACATTTTGTAAGGCTATAGTTGCAAAAGATAATGATTCCTCTGATGGATCTGGGCAAAGTCCGTTGAAAACCTTTGGAAAGGAGTCACCATTCTAGATGCCATTAAGAACATTTGTGACTCATGGGAAGAGGTCACAATATCAACATTAATAGGCATCTAGAAGAAGTTAATTCCAAAGTCATGGATGATTTTGAGGGGTTCATGACTTCAGTGGGGGAAGTCACTGCAGATGGGGTGAAAACAGCAAGACAGCCAGAATTAGGAGTGGAGCCAGAAGAAGTGACTGAATTGCTGCAGTCTCAGGATAAAACTTGAACAGAGGAAGAGTTGCTCCTTGCGGATGAGCAAAGAAAGTGGTTTCTTGAGATGGTCTACAATCCCGGTGAAGACTGTTGAAAGAATTTAGAATATTCCATAAACTTAGTTGCTCAAGTAGCAGCAGGGTTTGAGAAGACTGACTGGGGTTCGAAAGAAGTTCTACTGTGGGTAAAATGCTATCAAATAGCATCACATGCCATAGAGAAATCATTCGTGAAGAGTCAATCGATGTGGCAAACTTTATTGTTGTCTCGTTTTAAGAAACTGCTACAGATACCCCAACTTTCAGGGACCGCCACCCTGATCAGTCAGCAGCCATCACCATCAAGAGCAACCATCAAGCTCTCTGGAAGCTCAGAGGGTAGTTACCTTTTAATTCATTTTATTTCTTTTTTTTTTTAGCAGTAAAGTTAAGGTATGTACACTTTTTTTAGACATAATACTATTGCACACTTAATAGACTACAGTATAGTATAAAACGTAATTTTTATATGCACTGGGAAATGAAAAAAGTTCATTTGACTGGCTTTATTGCAGTATTTGCTTTATTGTGGTGGTCTAGAACTAAACCCACAATATCTCCAAGGTAAGCCTGTACTCAATGATTCCATTCCTTTTTCCTTTCTTTTCCTACCATATACTAAGTGGTAGAACTTAAGAGACAACTCTTTGCTTTAAAATACAGCTGAGTTTCTAAAATCCCCCCAATTAGTGATTCATCTCTATTAACAAAGAAACTCCCGAGAAGACTGAAAAATTGCGGCACTTTTCATGGATTCATGTGGTAGTGAGATCTATTTAATCAAATTGGAAAAAAAAACAAGAAGGGAGTCCAAGAAAGTTTCACAGCATGAACTGCTTTGGAAATTAGGCATATATGGGTGAAATGCCACAGTGGAGGCCTGGCTGGACAGTCAGGGACTATCCCGTAGGTCCTAGGCTCTGGAAAATGAGGAAATGATGAGAGACAACAGAAAAGTGAGAAAAGTTTGCTTCGTATCTGGTACTTTTCCTCCCCACCTCTTCCATCACTTGAGTTTGTATGAATTTTTAAAGGCACTGGGAGATGGGGGAACCCTGTTTGTCCTATAAAGAAGCTACCAAAAATGGGCCTCCTTCCAAGAAAAATCCAGGATGAAGTGTTCAAATAAAAGGGTATGCACAAGGATGTACTGTAGACAAAAACCAATGTCTTTCACAGTCACATCTGATAGTTGGGAGGTGAGTGGGGACCAATGCATTAGGGATGGGAGTTAGCCTTTGCCCCACATCAGCAAGCGCTAATACCTGCTACTGCCTTTAGGTTGACCTAGCCTCATGCTGAAGAGACTGAAAGACCAGAGTAAGGGTCAGTTCACATGGTCCTCAAAGAATGGTCCACTCTTCCATATTGCACATCGCTGAAATCTTGGGAGAGCCACAATCCTTGGGACCAAGAGAGCATGTAGGGTACTATAGGTGCCACCATATACAGCAGCGGGATCCACAGAAGGGAAGTCTGTCTA